AACCAGCCTGAGGCTTCATGCTTGTCCTTGAGTATCCCTGGCCATGAATAAGACCTCTGCCCTCTCAAGGTTTGGGCAGCCTAACTGAGCACTCAAAAGCCAGGCAACGCAAGCTTACATTTGAACCTGAGCGTTGCTCGACATCAACTCCAAGCCTTATACCACCTCCAAGGTTTAGACTCCGCAGTCTAAGAGCCCAGGAACCCTCACCAGGCCATTGCGTGCACCAGTCACTGTCCATGGTGCTGAAACAGCCCCAGGGCCAGGCTCAGTCCGATTCCCACAAGCCTCTCTCAGGAGTTCTGCACTAGGAGATAATTGTTGTTTTCTATCTTGATTTTGAAAGTATGTTGCTTCTTTTGCTGTTACAGAAAACACAGGTGCATGCCTTTGGCTGAGTGAGTTCTGTGCTTAGTCTTAGGTTCTCTGGGCCATTTCACTTCCCTTAACTACCCCTGCCACTTGTCCTTTGAAAAACAGGGCTTTCCCAGTCCTCTGATGCTGTGTACCCACTGCACATTGGTCGTGCCTCCCACACTTTTCTGGGACATTCCACCAGGGCACCTCTGGGAGCACATCTATTTTTTTTTATCCTCACTTGGCAAGTAGGAACAAGAGACTCGGTACAAAGGACACTGAGGAAAAGGAGTTAGTTATAGCAAGTCTGGGGCCAGCACCCAGCTCCTCTAAGTGCCTGTCTGCCTCATCCCCATCACCCCACTCTTCCCTGGGGGTCATGGTGCCTCCTTTCAGATCTTTTTTTCCTAGACAGAACAGAAGCACTGTCTTTATTTCTGGCTCATTGTATACCCCTCACTGTGCACTCTACTTAGCCCTTCCCTCATGAGGAAGGGAGCAGGTAAGGACATAAGCCCAGAAACGAGAAGTGACTTCTACCAGGCCACAAAGCAGGTACGTGACAGAGCTGGAATGAAGACTAGAACTTGGTCTGAGGAGATAGTTTAGTAAGCAAAGCCCTGGCTGTGCAAGCCTGAGGGCCTGGTTCAGATCCCCATGGACTGAACCAGGAGTGAGAGCACATGCCTGTAATCCCAGCCCTAGAGAAGAGACAGGAGGAGCCCAGGAGCTTGCTGGCCAGGCAATGTAGCCGAATCAGTGAGCTCCAGGCTCAGTGAGAGAACATAGCTCAGAAAATAAGACAGAGAGCAAGGAATGGCCTGCACAAGTGCACAAACCCATGCACACATACATAAACACACATGACGAAAAGCCCTAGAACTTTTAGGGGGTGTCTCTTACCTCCCCTTTCCAAGCCATTCTAACAACAAGAGCAGCAAGGGATCTACTTATACCTACAACCTAGAGACTCTAATGCTTCCCCCAAGATGTGGCCATCCTGGCTGAAGACACTCATTTAGTCTTGAGCATGGTCCTTGCCTTTTCTCCCAGTGCTATGAGACTCCACTACATGAAATGTCCCTCTGGGTCTGGCCCTGAGCGACATTCACTCTCAAAGGCTTCAGCAGTATTGGGTCTTCTGAAGATGTTGGGGGTTAGCGCAAAGGCCCCTAGAAACATGGGTGGGGGCTGGGGGCCTCTTGTCAGGAGAAGATTATGCAGCAGCGTGAATATTGATGAAGCTGTAATTGGCTCCCTCTTTCAGAGCCTGGGTGTCTGCAGGCCCAGGCACTGGGGCTAATTGTTGCAGGCAATTAATAACTTGGATTGTATTCACTCTGGCGCAGGCTGCCTGCTTCCTTGGAGGAGGCAAGTGAGGCTGGGAAAGGAACGCCAGGCCTGGCTGCTTGCAGAATGCTGGGGGAGGGAGAAGAGTGCTACCCATCTGCCAACCCCCCCAGCCCTGTTCAGAGCAACCCAGCCTAGAGCTGGCTCCTTTGCCTCCCCCAAAGCGCTTTCTTCTCCTAAATGATCAGCTCATCTATTCTCTCCTTATGGGAGTTCTGTAAGTCCAAACTCCCAAATGGAGCTTTAGGGAAGAGGGGGCTGGGCAGAGGAAAGAAAGTGTTTCAGAGGAAGTGCAGGCCGGGAGCCTAGAAGGCCAGGACTCCAACCCAAGTTCACCCACTAACTTGTTGTGTGACCTCAAGAGGATAATTTACTCACAGCGAACCTGGGCAAGTTTACCAAGCCCTTTCCTAAGCAACCTGACAGCTGCTGAAACACAACCAACCATTCTATCATTTATCTTTCTGACTACACTGAATTAAACTATGTAAGTGACTATTGAACAGTTGCCTAGAAACGAGTCTGCATCTGCCATAAAACTCACTGCAAGTGTAGGAGCCATGGAGGTCCTCCTTAACCCCATTTTTCAGATGAGTAAACTGAGTCAGTGAAGTGAGCTGACTCACCCAAGTTACACAGTTACTAACACACACACACACACACACACACACACACACACACACACACAGCCCCAGATTTCCCAAAAGTCAGAGTGTTAGCAGATTAAAGAGGGAACTATTTCAAAAAGTATTTATTCCTTTCCACTATGCTGGGACAATGTCTTAGTGTGCCGTATTTTTAAAGATAAATACTTCCAACCCTCCCCATATGCTTAACCTCAGCTGCTCAGCCATCTGGTGAAATGACCTGATTTGTGTACGGTCTTCCTCACCGGTGGAGTAGAGAAACAGGAGGAACTAGTGTCCTGGCTCTCGGTTAGTGGGTACCAGGAGTATGAAGACAACACTGACATCCACCCAAATCTTAATCCATGCCGTGCGAATGTGTCAAACGCTGCTTTTCCATAGGCATGTTCTTATCTGGCAAACCTTGATAGCCATTGCCATGAGACAGGTACTTTCACTGTCTCCATTTTATAAATGGAGTGGGGAGGGGGACCTCAGCAAGGTGAAGTGACTTTCCCAAGGTCACACAGCAGCTCGTGGGGAGTGGAACAGGAGAACAGCTCTCCCGAGAGCGCTGGGCTGCAAGGCTGAGCTGGGAGGCCCCGCTTTTCCTAGCTGGAGGCCAGACAGAAAGGGCATTAGAGCAATGGGAACTGAGGACAGAGTGGCTCTTTATGACTCCTATCCCTTTCACAAGAAGCCCTTTCAATTAGTCAAGAAGACAGAGAGTATAAGGGAAGCAGCTCCTGGGCACCAAGAGGCATTTAAATCAGACCCAGGAAACACTTCCGGCAGAAGGCACTGGAATTCGGAGACTATGGGAAGATGGGGAACTGTATTCCTTGCCGCCTCTCAGCTGGGCACATCATGGGGCCACTGGAGTCATCTCTGGGGAGCTCCTGGAGGTAAGAGGTGGGGTTCAGGGAGGTGCCTGAGGTGGGATGATCCAGTCTTGGGGGTAGCCAGAGAGAGAGGGAGAGCTAACAGCCCTGGAGCAGGATGCTCACAGCTTTCTTTACTTGCCCGCTCCACTGCCACCACAGGCGCCCCTTTACAACGGACATATTTCAAAGGCCTGGTTCCATTTGCATTTTTAAAACCCGGCTGATGGCCTGGGAAAGTCATATCCTTTCAGGATTTCTGAGTATAACCCCTGCAATGCGCGC